TTAAAATAGCGTTCAAATTAAATGCTTTTCTTGAATCGCTGTTGCAACCTTAAATTACGGACCCAAATGCCCAAAACGCTAAATAATCGTCCGACGGTATAATTAACGTCGTAAAGCATTATTTTGCCATTAAAAAACGATGGCAGACCAGTTCAATAAAACTCTGCCCTTTGTTATTATCTAGCGCAATTTCTGGTTCGAGTATATGGTTTTAGTTCATGTTAGATTTTGGCCCGACTATTAAGTCAGGTAAAACTGGGTTCGAAAGGCGCCCCTAAATAGAAGCCCAGCCACGTTTAGTGGCAGCCCCGTTTCGTTAGAGAATTAATAAAGAGCCCGGCTAGTAACGGAAATATCATAAATTATTACAAGAGCAAGAAGATATATTTCGATCCATTATGGTGGTTATTATATTGCTATTAACTTCGATTAACGTACTTTTTTGTTTTTTGGGCATGAATAAAATAGTCTTTTAATTAATAATAAGTACACTTTCTCGACACAAAAAATACATTTTTTAACTATTTGCATAGGTTACCTTCTTAACATTTGTATTATTATTGAACAGAAACGTTCTGTGGAGGCGAGTGAATAAAAAAAATATGTTGACACAAGTAATTGGTTTTATTTCTAAATATATAACTAGTCGAAAGGTCATTCACGAATATATTTGAATATTTAAATACTTGAAAAATTGAAACATTGAATTTTTAAACACTTTTTCCTTTACATGTAATTACTATTAATCGTTCGTTTTATGCAAGAAATAGTAACACTGGTCTCATTTTTATATGAATAATTTTAATAAAAATTTAATAAAATTTAATAGGGGGAAACCAATAATAAAAATATTTTCTGCCAAAATTTATTCATATACAAAGTTCCAAGTTGCTTTTTACCGGAACATCATTCACTAATGGAATAATTGTTCAATATCTATATTTCGAGCCGTTTTAAAGATATTTATGTAAAAAGTATTACAATTCTTAGAGTTATTAATTCTAATGTGCAATTCAACTTGAAATCGAGCTACCTCAAGCAGGAACTGTTTTAGGAAGACTTATAAAAAAAACACATTAATGTGAATTAATTTAACAAGCGGGTCTTAGACTCATTCCGAAGTCAAAACCATAAAAAGTTGTAAAAACGGTATATCTTTTGGAGAACTCTACCAGATATTTTTATTTCGACCTATAAAATTAAAGTAGGTTTTGGTTCTCCGTTAATATTTTTGTTTAAAGTTATGTGATATTTAAAAATTATTATTTGTGTATATGTTTCGTTTCGTAATTTCTGTTAAATATACCCATGCAAATCGAGAAATGGATATGGTGTGTGTTAATTCACGATGCAATTAGTCGTGCTACACTTCGTATGTAGAGACGTTCTCTGATAGATACCAGCCAGACAGGAAGAATTTTCGTAACATTGACGACCGTTTGGGAGCTTCCGGATTTTTTGTCAAAAATAGAGGACAATGGAGGCCATCCAAGCAATATCATACTATAAAACCAGGAAAAAGAAATCCTAGTCTAGTTCTGCATCAGTATTGAAAACAATGAACACACAGTCCAGTCCAGTAGTTCTGAGTCCTGATCTGCAAGCATGAATAAATTTCTCTATTTTTGTTGAAGATCCTAGTTTTGTTAACAAAATATTATTTTCTGACGAGGCAAATGTTACCCGTAGAGGTATTTTTAATATTCATAACAGAAATTCGTGGGAATTAGAAAATCCTCATTTGATATGGGAAAGGCATTTTCATCACGAGTTCAAGATAAACGTGTAGGCAGGTATAGCAAATAATTATCTGCTATTCTTGAATGGTCAGAACGTAGTCCGGATTTTATTCCAAAGAATTTTTGATTTTGGGCATATATTAAATCAGTGGTTTACAAGGACCTAATAGACAGAGTTGAAGAACTTTGGCATAAAATTGAGGATGCCGTTAATGAATTCCTAATCAAAAGCTCTGTTTATGAAAATAAAACAATCCTTTATTAAACGAATTACAAAATGTATGGTGGTCACATCTACCTTAAGTTTTTGTTTTTTGTAATAATAATTAAGTTAGTTAGTTAACTAACATTTGATTTGATTACAATTATCTCTAACAAAATTTTCCTTATTTTGGTTTGGCACTAGTAATAGTAATAGAAAACACAATACGTTGCTTTTTTTGTTCATACGTTGCTTTTTTTGTTCTTAAAAGTCTTCTTTCTTTTTAGGTATTCACTCACAACTATTAGTGAATTCATTTAAAAGTAATATTTTTAATAATAAATTAATAGTCGTCTATTATTTGTCTACATGGCACAGCGAGTTAAAAATATAAAGTAAAACATATTTTTTTTACTTAGAAAATGACTATCTTCTCAGGAATTAAATTTGAGAATATACAAAAAAACATAATGGTATTTTTGGAAAAAAGTGTGTGTGGGTAGCGCCATCTACAAGTTATTGCAAATCTGATTACACCATATAATTTCTCATCCCTGTCTCACATGCTAATTTTTGGCCTATATTTTTGAAATTCTTAACGTAAATAATAAAAAAAGAAAAAATAAATTTTCCTTTATCAACCTGTATCTGCGTAAGTAATAACTTTGCGACATAGCTTTATTTAACAAACCGAAATTTGCAAAGAATATGCTGGTATTCTATAGCTCATTCGTTTTGAAATATGTACACACATTTACATATAAATCAAAATTTTGTATTTTTTTTATTTCCATAAAATTATGAGCATGAATGTGAATTTAATTTAAGAATATACTACTCCGAATAAGAAAATAACTGTCCTAAAAGTCAAATTACATTTTTAAAATGCTTTTCTTCTAGGGTTACATTGTATTGAATTCAAAATTTAGTATTTGAAAGATAAATTAAAATAAACAAAAAAGTTACTCTTGCGCTCTAGTCTAGTTTCTTGAATTGAAAGTTCTCGGCTACATGTTGTTAAATACCTTTTATGGTTGTTTTCATTTTTGAATACGTCTAATACCAATAAGAACCAAGAAATTAAATATCATTAGTTAACAATAAAATTCTTACGTGATGTGCAAGTATTATTATTAACCACAAATAACAAACTAAATACTTTTTTTAATTGCTTATTTATTAAAGGACATTATTTATAGTGTTACACAATTCCCTAAACAGTGGAATTAACGCTGGTCTCGAAGAACAGAGTTCAAACAGAGTTGAACAGGAACTTTATTATATATCTGTACACATTTTTACAATAAATAAAATAAATCTACGATATTTGTTTTCTTTTTTCTGGTAATTCATTAAACACGAAGAACGAAGAAGCTCAGAAAACTGGATTAGAGAAATCTTTATTAGTTCTAATACAGGTTCCCTAAATATCGCACTCATCTCTAGTATTATAAGTATGAATATCTCTCGCAAAGATAATGATGAAGTTACATTGTGTTTTTTTTTATAACTTTGTATACTTATTTACAATGATCAATCTTCAATATTCTACTTAACCGTGGGATGCTCAAGTCTTTGTATACGTTCTCTGTGTATGTCAGACTGTCATATGAAAACAGAACATTTTATATCGCTCACTGGGTGCAATAATGGGCACATATCTAAAAATAGCTATTTTTAGTTAATCGTTAGATAAAACTTGCACACAAAGATGCTCCTGACACATTTTTCTATAAAATATCGTTTAGTGAACCTAATTACAGAAAGCATTACGCAAGGAATATGCGAACAGTGGCGACTTTTACATCTTTTGGAAATGTGAATCTTGACCGTGCTTATCGAGATGTTATGAACATTCCAAAGAAAAATTTTAATGACTAAATGGATTTGCTAAAAAGTAAGGCTATTAAAAATATCACAGTCACTTTTATTATAGCCTGAAAGGTGACAATGTCACGGTTTTTAAGTTACTTGAAAATAGTACCTGTTGTTTATTTTCCAAAAACCAGGTCAGTTGGTTGTTTCTTATAATTTTCTTATAATTTTAACAACAGTAGCTCTCTACTCTCTACCAAAAACGCTAAGTCCGTTGATTTTTATTGTTTACGTGTTAAAAGACTACTAATCTGATAGTTGTTTCTTTTATTTTAGAAATAATTCCTACTTGGACATGTATCAAAAAGTATAGGTCGATTGTTTTTTAGTTATTTTTTTAGTTTCGATATTGTTTACGTGCCAAAGTTTATAAAGGTACATTTTTAGTGTTTTATGAATTTCCAGTATGGGTTTTTTTAGGTTACTACTATTTACCTATCTCGCAAATGACAATAATAAAATTATATAATAAATAAATAAACTTTGATCCCCTGCTTTATTAAGAATTTTTTTATCAAAATATTGCACTTTATTCGCGAAATTGGTGTGTGCAAAATAAAATCAATAAAGGCCCAAAATTTAAAAACATTTATAAAAAAACCTCAAAACATATTTTTTGTTTTAAAAAGAGAATAATACAAATAAATTTATAATTATAAAGACACATCACTATAAATTTTGTAATAAGTAGGAGAGTTGATATGAGTTATCTCAAGATTTCAGTTTTTATTTTCCTAGTTCACTGATTTTCTCAAAACTATTATTTTGTGGATGTGCACCCAGTGAGCGATATTCGGTTTTGCAGGATTTGCATAAATTTAGAATTAGGCGCACCACAATTTTCCCATACAGGAATCAGATACCCAACTTACTAACTTCCAACATCAACAGATATCGATGCTGAAAAATACTATTCACTGCCATCACTCCCATTACCATCGTATTGAAATGTTTTTGACACTTCAAACCTTAGGACAATTTATGAAATTAACCGTAAAGGATAAAAATTGCACTTTTAATTCAACCCGACAATTATCTAAGTGGAATTTTACGTAAGACGGCGATACGACGGCTACGTGCCGATCCTTCGAGCCGGCAAGTGGCGCCATCATCCCGCTGCGAAGTTCGTTTGAACAAAACCGGGCGCTTGCGTGCTCGGACAGGATTCTCCAGTTTTGTATATACACTGCAGTAGCTCTCGAGCAACTTTCAGTGTTCATTCGGAGGTCGTCGAGGTTGTGCCGCGTCTCTCGTGCCCGAATCGACCTCGCAACTGAATGTATTCGTAACGGAACATCCGTGGTAATCCATTCGGCGAAATGTCCGTCTAACAGAGGGACGCAATTTATCGTTATAGTTACCGATATGAGCGCGTTGTGATTTTGTGCGTAACAAACTGGAGCCATGTATTTTTCTGTTTTTATTGGTGTCGTGTTTTGTGTCACCCTGTGTAGTTCCGCTAATTTTGACAGTGCGGAGCAGTGTTCTTGGTTGCCGGATAACAACGAGGGCTCCTCGAAACTGGCCGTCACTTGCAACGTGAGGCTACTCGACGAAAGTGGAGCGAACATCACCAACCTTCCCGCCGAGGTGACTTCAAGATTACGCGTCACTTGCAACGGCGCCCTCTTTTTCGAAAGCGTCCTGCCGGCTCAGGGGCTGCACCGGTTACACGAGCTCGAAGATTTACGAATCAAGAACTGCAAAGTGTTAAACATCGAACCCGACACGTTCGATGGCCTCTATAATTTGAAAAAGTTGTACTTGAACACGTTCAACGCCGACTGGGGTCGGAGCAAGAGCCTCGAGCTGACGAGCTTCAGTTTCCGTGGGCTCAAAGAGCTTCAACTCTTGGACTTGGCCGATAACAACATCCGGTCGATGCCAGAGGGTACGTTTTGTTCACTGACCAACCTCCATACATTAAATTTGACGAGGAACCGTATACGGAGTTCCGAGAGAATTGGAATCGACAGTCCCGACTGTAACAGCGGCGACTTGCAAAACCTTGATCTATCGTTCAACGATATCCGCAGTTTGTCCGAAGACTCGGGATTTTCCAGACTCAGGCGACTCCAGACCCTCGACCTGCAATACAACAACATTTCGGATGTTTCGGGCGAAGCGTTGGTCGGTCTCGTATCCTTGAAAATCCTCAATTTATCGAACAACAAAATCGAATCTCTGCCGCAAGGTCTTTTCGCGGGCTCGCCCGAGCTCAAAGAAATCCACCTCCAAAACAATTCTCTCTATTCCCTCGCCAAAGGATTGTTTCATCGCCTCGAGCAACTCTTGGTCCTGGACTTGTCCGGTAATCAGCTTACTAGTAACCACGTCGACAACGGCACATTCTCCGGACTCATTCGCCTGATTGTGTTGAATTTGTCTCACAACGCCCTAACACGCATAGACGGTCGCAGCTTTAAGGACTTATTCTTTTTACAAATCTTGGACTTGAGAAACAATTCTATAGGATTTATAGAGGACAACGCTTTCTTGCCGCTGTACAACTTGCACACCCTCAATCTCGCAGAGAACAGATTAAATACGATCGGGCCGCAACTGTTCAACGGGCTGTACGTTCTCAGCAAACTCACTCTCAACAATAACCTGATCGTAAATATTGACGCTCGGGCTTTCCAAAATTGTTCGGATCTTAAAGAGCTGGATTTAAGCTCCAACGCGCTTTCGCAAGTTCCGGATGCGATTCACGAGCTCGCCTTCCTGAAAACTTTGGACTTGGGTGAAAATCAAATAAGCGAGTTTAGAAACGGTTCGTTTAAAAATTTGAACCAGCTAACCGGATTGCGAATGATCGATAACACGATTGGCAACTTGACGCGAGGCATGTTATGGGATTTACCGAGTTTGCAAGTGCTCAATTTGGCGAAGAACAAAATTCAAAACATCGAGAGGGGTACGTTCGAGAGAAACACTCAAATCGAGGCCATCCGACTGGACGAAAACTTTCTGACGGATATTAACGGGGTGTTCGCTACGCTGGCGTCTTTGTTGTGGCTGAACCTGTCGGAAAATCATTTAGTGTGGTTCGATTATGCGTTCATACCCAGCAATCTCAAGTGGTTGGACATCCACGGCAATTTTATCGAACACCTGGGCAACTACTACAAGATACAAGACGAAATCGGGGTGAAAACTTTAGATGCTAGCCATAATCGCATAACGGAAATAGGGCCGATGTCTATACCCAACAGTGTCGAACTTTTGTTCATAAACAACAATTTTATTCGAAATATTCATATTAATACTTTTCTGGACAAAGCTAATCTAGTGCGGGTCGACATGTACGCCAATGACTTGGTGAATATGGATCTAAATGCCCTTCGTATTGCCCCGGTGCCATCCAATCGTTCGCTGCCGGAAGTTTACCTTGGAGGCAACCCGTTTCATTGCGACTGCACCATGGAGTGGCTTCAGCTGATCAACAATATGTCCGGGTCGCGTCAGTATCCCCGTGTGATGGACGTCGATAACGTCTTGTGCAAAATGACACATTCCCGAGGTATGACCCATATGTCGCTTAGCCGGGCCAAGTCGAGCGACTTCTTGTGCAAATACGAAACCCACTGCTTCGCGCTATGTCATTGCTGTGATTTTGACGCATGCGACTGCGAGATGACATGCCCTAACAATTGCACCTGCTACCACGATCAGACCTGGAACACCAACGTTGTCGATTGTTCCGGCCAGGGAGCCGCCGAGATCCCGCAAAAAATACCAATGGACGCCACCGAAGTCTACCTCGACGGCAACGACATCAGGGAGTTGCAAAATCACGCTTTCATCGGCCGCAAGAATATGCGGGTTCTGTACGTAAACAATAGCGGCGTGGAGGCGATTCAGAACAGTACCTTTAACGGGCTCAATACTCTGCAAATTTTGCATTTGGAGGACAACAGACTTTCCGAACTGAAAGGCTTCGAATTTGAACATCTATCGAGTTTGAAAGAGTTGTACTTACAGAACAATGCGGTCTCGCATATCGGGAACGGCACCCTGGAATCGCTGTTGTCGTTGGAAATTTTGAAGTTGGACGGAAACAAACTGGTTATGTTTCCGGTGTGGCAGCTGTCGATTAATCCGCGACTGAACGAAATCACATTGGGGAACAACCCCTGGTCGTGTCGATGCAAATTTTTACAAAAGCTCACGCCCTGGGTAGCGGAAAACGCAATGAAAGTAATCGACAGCACGGACATGATGTGTTACAACCCCGATCTCAAACCACCCCAGCGTAAAGAGTTGGACTTCAACAGTACCGCGTGCAGTGACTTTTACGCGGGAAGTTCGGTGATTGACAGTATGCTCGTGTCCGATTACTGGCCGATGGTAGTGATAACGCTGTGCGTTGTGATATTGCTACTCCTAGTCGTCGTTTTATGGTTCATATTCCAGGACCCATTACGCGTTTGGCTTTACTCTCGTTACGGGGTCAGGTTATGCAATTTCCGCGACAATTCGGCGCAACAGTTCGAGGACAGAGACAAGCTGTACGACGCGTTTGTTTGCTATAGCCCCAAGGACGAAGAATGGGTGGTACAATCTTTGGCAGCCGAATTGGAACCCAAATATCAGCTGTGTCTTCATTATCGCGATATTCCGCACAGCGCTTACATTCAGCACACCGCGCCGGCAGTGCTGGAAGCGACCGAGGCGAGTCGAAGGGTTATTTTGGTCCTAACCAGGAACTTCTTGGAGACCGAGTGGTCTAGATTTGAGTTGCGACAGGCGCTCCACGAGGCCATCAAGGGGAGAATTTTTAAACTCGTCATAATCGAAGAGGGCGTGCTACACGAGGCCGTCCTTGATCCCGACCTGCGGTTGTATTTGAAAACCGCGGAACACGTGCGCTGGGGCGAGAAGCGATTTTGGGAGAAACTTAAATACGCCCTTCCGTCAATAGAGACCCGAGACAAAATAAATGCCAACTACAGACGTAACATCAACAATTACACGATCGATTCGAGGGTAGCCGCCAACGGAACCCATCATCACTCGCATCACTCGTACCCGGAAAAGCTAAGGCCTCAGGGCCCGCCTTCACCCGGTATGCAGATGATGCCTCCACCGGCATATACCGCCGGCTTGCCTCAGGAGGTAGACGATGCCAACTACTCGTCTGCGACGACGGCCACGCCGTCTCCGAGACCTTCCAGGCGGATGACCCAGGAGCCGAGGCCGATCTCGGACCACATCTATTCGAGTATAGACTCCGATTATAGTACCCTCGAAAGGGGTAGCTCGGGTCGGCGGGGACCACCGTGGAGGCCCCCCCACGTGGTGATGCAGACCGCGGGCGTCAACAGCGGCGGCCAGGCCTATCTTGTGTGATAACATGACTGACTAGGTATACTTACTATAAATATATTTTAAAGAGACTCGTAAAAATGTCTAACTAATTATAGTTCGTGTAATTATTTTTCCTGTATCATTTTTGTACATTGCTGTATATAGATATATTTATTTGTTTTCCTATTAGTTTGTATTATGTGTATATTTTTTACGAAAAGCGAAATGAATTACGTAATAAATACGATGTGAAATTTTACGCAGACTTGTTTCTTCTCGATGGGGAGCGTTTACTGGGCGGTGTTTTTTAATGGCTGCTAAAGAATGAATTTTGTGAAACAGGCGCATGGTTTGTGTTTTAATCCCAAGATTAAATGGCGATATCTAAATTATTTACAAATCACTTTCTTAAATCTTGCGTTAGAATGCGTTGCAGGTGCACAGAAAGGTAAGTATTATTTTTTTATTTAGATATTTTTTCTTTTTTATAGTTTAAAATTGTTCTACAAATATTAAATTTTTCTTTATAAAAATATGCGTCTCTCGATAAATGACTTAAAATATTTTAAATCGTCTCTTAATTTTTTTCTGAAGGTGAATTTTCCATTCCAAGTATCTAGAAAATTAGTATTATTAGAGATGCAAGAAGATCGAGCTGTGCAATTGAAATATAATTTCATGCCGATTTCTGAATTCTGGAAATTTGTATTTGAAAAATACTGCTTGTTGAATTATTTCAATATTCATACGTACGTACGTACTAACAATATCAACTAACCAGCATCTCAAAGAATTACTGAGAAGTGCTGTCACTAATTATTCACCAAATTTCAAAGATTTCAATACAAATATTTTGCAAGTTTATTTATGTTTTCAGTAAATATTATTTATTCAAAAAATGATTAATACCTTTTAAATACATATTTTTGAAAAATGGCTCTTAATATCAAGGAGCTTGGAGAACCCCGGCCTAGATAATAATAATAATAATATATTGCTTTTGTTGTTTTAATTATTAATAACACAAAACTACAAAATTAAATAACGAATTAAATTTGGTAGCAACGGGCTAAAACATTTGGCACGGCCAGGTAATGTCAGTCCAAAATGTAGCATAAATTTACCAGACACAGAGAAACAGACAACGCTTGGAATGGGAGTGGGGGGAATTAAGGACAAGGAAGTAAGGTTTTTAAATTTGTTCAGGGCCAATCGCTTCCGCATATTAAGGAGAAATATTGATCCTAAAAGACACCATTTCAGTTTTTGTTTTTTTTTTGGTTTTTGAACGAGCGGTAACAATTTAGAAATTAACTTTCGCGAAGCTAAGATATTTTTATTAAATAGTTATTACCGGTTTTGGTGGTTGTTTTTTCTCCATAACTTAACTGTATGTAAATGTGTAATATAGCTTTTTACAAACCAAGATTTTTTATATCTATATATGATAGCAAAAAGATACTGGATGTTGAAAGTGAAACTTAGCTTTCAAAAAACTACAATTATTTCAAAACGGAAAAATCTGTTACATTCAATTAATTAACTTATTTTGATTTATATTCATTATGCACACTCAGTCGTACCCAAATATTTTCTTGAAATATTAATAGAAAAGTTTAGCGGGTAATCATACAATGCGATATTCCTAATATGTTAACTCGCAATAGACGAAATATTGAAACTAAATTTTGAACGTGTCTGGAAAAAAGATTTCGTGCAGAAATTCTGTGCCGTAAAAAATATGGCAATTAAAATGCCCTGCCAGAAACTGTACCGTGACTAATAAAAGAATATAAATGCACTCTAATTAGACGTGCATTTTTGTAACTCCGAAGAGAGAGAGAGGTAAAAACACTTAAACTTAATGAGCCGTACTTCAAAGGACTTTAAGCAAGCATGATTCGGAGTCTAAATGTGGTTTTGCATCTTATTGCTCTATACGTGCCTCCGAAGAGTTGTTAATTTTAAATTAATCTGCGACAGATAACAATAGAAAATGTAGTGACTTGCTAATTAGATAATAAAGAATATAAGTTGGTTCCTTCACTAAAGTGGATGCAAATAAATTAATTTAAATAATTCATTAATGTTCTAAACGTGCTAAATGTCCTAAAAGTTTCCGAAAAACACAGTGATCCTAAAATTTTTATTAATGACGAGCAAATCCATGTTATTATTCTGTCAAGACTGAGGTTATTGATAACCTGGTAATTCCTTTCCATTTTATAAATTTGCAAAAAACCTTGGCTTAATTTACAAAAAAAAAATAGGACAAAGAAACGAGACAAAACTATTCTCAAACTCAATAACAATTGCTTTTATAATTTGGTGATGTTATTAAATATAACGGTCAATATTTAATTCCTAAATAAACCAACTGTTAACTTAATTCGCCTCAAAAAAAAAATTGCTTGAAGTTATGACTTTTTGTTTACTTCACTTTAATCATTTTTTTATAAAGCAAATGTAAATATTAAGCAAATCTCCACAGGGATGCAGTTGCCCTTTTCTACAACCTTAATACATTTTTTAAAGCGCCTCCAAAATTAAATTCCCCCGAAATTGAGCGCAATATAAAGAGACTTCGTCAAATTTGTGTAATTTTTTAAAGCGGCCATTTATTCGAACCCACTATAGCCAGGGAACTAAAAGCTAACAAAAGTTTGTGTAACAAAACTTTTATTGCGGTTGCAGTTGTAAAAAAGTCCAAATTGAACAAGATTACCCCAGCAAGAAGAATTAACTGCGGGAATAAAACAATTTTATTTGGAAGTTGTAAACGAAAGGGAACTTTCGACTTTGTAACGGCCCGCAGTGATTCGATTATATTGGTTAAAGGGGCACAAACAATGGCGTTATGGGACAGATTTCAATAAAAAAAATATAGTAAAAATTAATTAATTTATTGAGCTATCCGCAGACCAAAAAACAAGCAAATTTATCAAATTAGAGGGACGTAGTTTTCTTTGCAATTAGTTAATTTAATTAAATCTTTAGAGTGTACCCTCAAAAACCTATTTCCGGAATAGAATAGAATAGAAAAATTTAGGTTTTATGAATTATGTATCAAAATTAATGTTGTCTTCTTCAAAGTAATCCCTCCCAGCTATAATACACTTGTGCCAACGTTTTTTCCAATCCTCGAAGCACTTCTGGTAAGCACTTTCTGATATTGCCTTGAGTTCTTCCATTGATTTTTTGTTTATTTCCTCAATCGTTCCAAACCTCCTTCCTTTCATGGGTGTTTTGAGTTTTGGCAACAGAAAAAAGTCGCAGGGGGGCATATCCGGTGAATATAACGGCTGAGGCACGATTGTGGTTTTGTTTTTGGCCAAAAGCAACGATTAGTGAGCACGTGCATTGTCGTGATGGAAAATCCATGAATTGTGTTTCCATAATTCCAGACGCTTTCTTAGTAATTCTTCTCACAAACGGCGCATAACTTCAAGATAATACTCTTTATCGACCGCACGGCCGTGTAGTACTACGCCAAGATAATAATAGAAAACAGTAAGGAAAACCTTGATATTTGATCGAACTTGACGTGCTTTTTTCAGATTTTGGATTCCTCCATTGTGATGACTGGGTTTTGGTTTCGACATCAAAACCGTATATACCCATGATTCGTAACCAGTTATGGTTTTTTAGAGCATATCAAGATTATAATTGACGTCGTTCAATAGCTTTTGAGCGATGCTCCTTCGACTGTCCTTACACATTTCATGCGCAAAATTTCGGAAAAAACTGCTTGGCACAAGCCAATAGAGATGCCGAAGTTTTTAACGACTTCTCTAATAGTGGTCCGACGATTTTTGAAGACCATTTGTTTCACTTCTTCACTTCAGTTATTCACTTGCTTTTATCATTTATAAACATTTTTTTTGCTCAAAGTAGATTCACCACATACCGTTGTCAACGTTTCAAGCTTTTTGCAGCACTGTATTGTATTTTTTCATTTTTTTTTACAGCCAAAAATAGCCTAGCAACAAAACAAGTCTAACGCTTCTGTCTCACAAAAAAAGTAAACTTGTAAACTGGCTGAAATTGTGAACATATGTTAGGGACATGTACCAACGTAAAAAAATAATATCGAAGATCCAATGTACGTAGCCCGCCCAATTACAAGTCTCCTTACTTTTTGAACACACCTCGTATAACGATAAATAGGGTGTTTCTCAATTTTTGGCCTTTTAGAAAAGTTCCGATAACTTATTTATTTATTTATTATGCAATAGTGTACTCAGATTTTTTCTATAATTGTTCATTTTCCCAAAAATGAATAGAACTTCGTATTTTATACTACCATGATACCAACAAGTGCTTTAAATATATCCTGCAATATCTCTTAATATTATAAGCGCGCGACAGTAATCGATAATTAGATAGACCTTAATTAGATAAGCCTATCTAATGTAATATTTTTTTTTTGCCTTTTAACATATATGACCTACAAGCCACAATCTGGGGATAAATATTTAAAATTTTTGGAGCTAGGTATGGAAGACACCACACCATTCATTATAGCGAGTGATCAAAACTATCCAACAATGAATGGCACTTAGCACTATTGTGATCTATATAGTTACGCTTCTCAACCTAAAATATCAGCACATTTTATATATACCTATAACACTTTTAAATATATTTGGCCACAATATTATATGTACCATACATTTTCCTCATGTTAAAATGTAAAAATTAACGAAATGTTAAAAACAAAGTTAGTTATTGTCGACTGGCAAGAATAAAGATAAGTCGTGCACCGGAATCAAAGCGACGGCAAGGAGTTGTGAACGAAATGCAATGACGTGGTAGGTCACAGCCCCACACTATTAGATGCCATGACACCAAAAAGTGCTTTGAGAAGCTGCCTCTGGCCGCCGCCGCAAACAATGGACCCAGATATTCGTTCGCATTGTCTTCTACTAATAAACCCCTTTCGGCGTCTTACTCGGCAGCATTGGTTTTGTTTAATAACACGTGCCTTTCGAAGCAGTGACGGGTGCATTACCATGATACCATTATTAAAGTAAAACGTACAAGTTGCCCAGTTCTCGCCATAAAATTTTCTTTTTTGCGAATTTTAACCAAACTAGAAAAAAATTTTCCTAGACTGGTATGGGATAATATGATAATATGATAATTGCTGTACAACAAAATATAACTGAGGTGGTTACGTTTGGTTAGTTTAAAAAAACGACACTAAGTGTGTTGAAGGAATTATTTTTGCACCCTACTATGGTTACAAGAAAAGTA